CAGCTGTTATTACAATGATTTATTAAGACCCAAAATATATCCATTTAGGTGAACCATGTCTTAAAAGTCTGTTAGTTAGCCCTTTCTCCTCAACTGCATTGTAGATTCTTCTTAGCCATTAACAGACTCAAAGGTTGGATATATATTTCATTGCCCAACAATAAAAATGTATTTATTTTGAGACAAATATTTCAAAAATAGTTTGAGTCAGAAATCAAATCCTGGATTTGTATGGTTCCACAGCAGCTCATTTCTATTCACAGTTCTGTTTCTTTCCTCTCTTTGTCTAAACACACCCTTCACCCCTCAGTTAGAAAGAAAAAAAAAACATTTTAAGAAAAAGACCTTTAATAAGTAACATTACTTTAAAAAATAAGAACTGCCTTATGATTTTACTTTAGGATATTATTTTTTTCTTTATCTCTAATGTGGGAAAATCTAACATCAATAGAAAAAAAAATAAACATTTGATTAACAATACTCAAAGTAACATCAAAGATTATAATATATCCAGAATTTCCTTGCTGTGGTCTAATGTCTAGTATATAATACATAGATGTGTACAATACAGGACCTCCTCTCCCCTCAGACACTCCATGTTACTCTGTTAAAATTCTCTATTAATCAAAGCTTCATGTCATTCATACTTTCTTATTCAGGGGTGGTCTTTCCTCCTTCTCCATTGAACTCTAAAACCAGAGTACTGACCTTCATCCTCTCTTAACCTCATATGGAGCTTCCTAACCAGTTTTTCTTACTCCAAACCTCACACACTGATAAGATGAAACTTCTGCAGTATCTCTGTGGCTCTTTTGTACTTAGGCATCGTCATGAACTCTTCAAATGTCTGGTATTACCCAACCTCCTCAAAATCATATTCTTGTCTCTCTACCATAGCCCCTCTTTCTAGCATCATTTTTGATCATCTCCATATAAGTCTTAACCTCCAATAAACCTTAATCTTAAAATAAAATTTTTATTTAAGCCCATGCTTCTGTTTCTTTATCCAAGCTGTTTCCTCAACTGGAAAGTGTGAGCTCTGTTAACTTCACCTATTGACATATTGATTCCCGAGCTCCCATCTCTAAACACATCCTCCAAGAAACTTTCCCTACGATCTCTTCCTTAAATTGTAAAATCATCTGATTACATGTTCCTTGAGAGTTCATCTTTATATATTTCCTACTCTATCTATGTATCTTATACATAAAAAAAAACAACAATTACATAATATCTGAATTAGGTTATGTCACTTTCAAAATGCAAACACAAACACGGCAGAACTGACCTTACATTTCTAGAGCAATATGGCCAATAGTGTTTGGAAACTCCATTTGGAAAGATGTTTTGCTTTGTTTTTGTATTCTTTTGTTTTTATAGAGACTCAGTAAGGATTCTGTGATGTTGCAGTGTCTTCTCAAGGGCTTCCTAGCAATGAAAAACGGTGATGATCAATAGAAATATTATACAAGTATGCCTGGACTTTGGGTTGAATGACATTGAGGAGCGACATGAATTTGATGATGTAAAGTAAAACACTATTAGCTTGGTCAAAACTTATTTTCTTCATGTTTTGGGTGAGATAAATGCTCAATCATTAAACACCCATTGTAGCACTTCAACTCTAGCACTATGATCCATGAAATAATCGCAAATGTGGTATCTTGCTACAGGAAATTTAGCAAGAGTCAAACAGTCACTGGTATAAAACTTCAATAATTTTATATGTATGTATTCATTTATTATGTGATTATTAAATTTCCTTCTATATAATCAACATACAAGATGCAAGTACTCTTAACTATTTTATTTTAATGCTAAATCATTGGCAAGCATGCTGCCTTCATTTTGGCCTTGCTCTTAAGCAAATATATAGCATATTTTATGGCTATATATTGATGTCAGAATATGGAAACACATTAAAGAAAAAAAGAAAGCCCGGTGTTTGCCCATTTATTTACACAAATTTACTTTGCTTTAAATTAGAGTTCATCCATTTAAAAAAACAAAACAAAAAACTCCTCTATAAAATATATCTTTAACTAAAAAAAAAATCCAATAAATTTAGGAATTCCTATTTAAAATAAAACTTTTATTTAGACAGGTTTACTGAGGAATTTGTCCCTTTCTTTAGTAAATCCCCAGATAATCGTGACTTTTGTTTGTTTGTTTGTTCTTTTCAGAAACTATTTGGTATTATAGGAATTAATTTCAAGTGAGCCTTAGTTTATCTATGCAGTTGAAGAATAAAGTATTATCATGTAATTGTAAATCCAAGAGAATAAAGGTGGCAATATTCCTTCTCAGAATGTCTAGATCCTGGTCACTTTTTTATATGGTAGTCCATGTGAATTAACTTTTCCCCAAATGATTCTAGATCCTTGTGCTCATTATTCTTCCCACCCTCAGTTTCCATTTTTTTTAGGCTGGTGTTAAAAACATTTAAAGTAGCTAAAGAACACAAATTCCAGAATACAATAAAAAAGATTCTTAAACAATTATCTCTCAAATGGAAAAACATTTTAAAGAGAAAGGAATAAGAATTCCATTGCAGTCCCTTTGAAAATAAGCTCTACACGATTTCTTGTGAAAGGAATTGAATTGCACTTTTGACTTTTTATTCTCACTTTTAGGAACAGGATATGCATACCTTTGTTTCTGATGTACTGGTTTACATAAAACTGCACAAAGTACCACTGGCCTTGAAAACAAAGTGGTTGTTTGATGGTATGTACAATGAACGGATATAGAAAAACATCTTTTACTATTTTTATCAATTTTATTTCCTCTTGTAAATATTGCCAACATTCAAAGCCAGGTTTATGGAACACCAATGAGAAAATCAAAGCTACTTATACTAAGCATGTTTAAGTATTTTAAAATATAATCATGCTCAGACACACTTGGAAAAAACAAACCCAGAATTAACTTTGCCACCATGATAATGAGCAAGTTGGAGCCAAAAACCTGTATTCCCTTTGAAAATGCATTTCAAATGAATGGCTATCATACATTTGAGTGAAGAGTTTTATTCTTCATGGGTGCTTTTTTTATTTAACTCTAAATTAATGTTCACCTTAAGGATATCTGTAAACACTGGATGTTATACAAATGAATGCATGAATAACTCGTAAATGGTTATATTACATGGCCAAAGTTTAATTTGGCTCTCCATTCAAAACAAGCAGTGTCGGTGGATATTTGGGCATTATTGTTCAATTTATGCTTTTTTTTTTCCCCCAGAAGTAAATAAGCATAGTAAACATTCAAACATATCTGGGGAGCACACAATGACATACATTTAGATTTTTAATAACTATACTCTAAAAACATAAGTATAACATGACTGGCCCTTACTCATGTATTTATTAACCATGTGAAGGAGTTATTGTATTAAAAACTAGAATGTCAACTGCACAGGAGATAGCTTTGTCCACTTAACAAGATAGGCCTTTATCAAAACACTTCATCCTGATAGTTGCTCTTGGCAATGGAAAGAATTCTTAACTTTTATTTCCAAGACCACTCTGGAGATTTTCTAGAAAATTAGGTGATAATGAATGAATATAGGTTTTTCATAAACAATTGATATGCCAAACTAGTTACAATATTATAAAGATTAAAGCCTACGGTTAACTCCCTCTTAACAAGACATGTTTTGGAAGCTATTAACCAGCAGGCTTTACATTAGAGTGAGATGTTCTTTGCTCCTGTGTCTAGTAATTTAGAGCCTCCAGACTCAAGCTCCTTAGAGGTGCTTCTAACACTGCTTCTCCTAGAAGAGAAGATTATAGAGAATTATAACAAATTTGTAAAACTGGCAGTGTCCAAATTTAGGAGATGGGAAAGGCAATATATGGAAATTCTTAAAACAGCGTTTCCAGAACTTTTCTAGTCTGAAAAATGTCAGTAGTTCATATTTAAGGCTATGCCCTCAATATGAACTGTTGCTCAATTTGCTAGGTAATAATTCTTTAACCACAAAGCACAGTTCCTCAGTGTTTTTGTTAATTTAGGGAATGTAACATTTGCAGAGCATACAGAAAGAAAAAAAAAATCAATTCTTTCTCCATTTAATTCCAGGGTTGGGAGAGCTAAATATTTCAGTGTTAATTCCTTTTACTACATGAATGCTAAGAAACAGAGCATAAAATGGTTGAAGGTAACACTCTTATATTTTTTACCTTGTATTTTAAAAAGATGACTTTGGTGGTTTCCATCTTAGTTTGTAAATTATCAAATTGATAATTTAATATAGTAATTAAATTTTTTAAATTTAATGAATGTCACCTCAATAAATTTAAGTAAAAAAAATAAACACAATAAATGTAACTAGAGTTCTATTTAATACTGTGTCAGGAAATAGACTTCACTAAAACAGATAAAAAATTGGCCTTTTAATTATGTAAAATAGGAATGTTGTTATTTAATTAATAAAGAATTTATAAATAAGTTAATTTCTTCCTTGGAGTCAAACATCTTGAAAACAAATCCCAGAAAATCATGGCTTTATGTTTAAAAAAAACAACCTCTATTCCAAATAGGGCTTACAAATATAAAGAAAGAAAAAAAATTGACAATATTTTTAGGTGAAAAATTACTATGTAAATATCAGGCATTAGAATAGGCTCACTCATATATAGATTGTATTTAAATAAATTATGTATTAAAATTATTATATCTTTAAAATATGAATCCAGGAACGTAGTCCAAAAATCCTAATGTGACTTAAGTAATATAAATAAAATTTAAGTAAAAATATATGAGTATTTTAATAGACTGCATTTTACAAATAATCTGTGATACATAAATTTAAGTAACTTAATATGCAAATTGCTACTTTACCTGGTACCTATGAAGGTCTTAAAATGATGACAATAATATTCACATTTTGGTCATCAGTTTCTCTGAATTTTAAATTTAAACTTCATTTTACTGAAGTACAATAGATTATATTGGATTTAGTCAAATTCCTTATGCTCTTTCTTAGCAAGTAGAACTTATAAGTAAAGATAGGCAACCCAATAAACCAGATTGAACAGAGCAAATGCTGTTGGGAAAAATATTCGCGAGTAGGAGTCCATTTTGGCAATGCGGATGTGGATCCTTCCCTTCCTCCAGGACCCCGTCTTGCAGTCTTCAAAGCAGCAGAAGAAGCTGGTACAGTCTTTGCCCTCCAGACACTGGTACCCCTGATCGTCTCCTCCTTGTGGCAGAGAGATGCTATTCATGGGGATCAGCGTGGATCCAGGGTGGAGTCCAGGAGATATCTGTGTAGAATAAAATTGACAAAGAGAAGAGCATTATAAAAAAAAGACCAACCTGTCCCAGCAAGGCAAACTCTAAAAGAATGCAGTGAAAATAATCTTGGTTTGAAAAAAATTAGGGGACTCATGGACACGGCAATAGGGTGGGAGGGACCAGCAGGGGGTGAAGGAAAGGGGGGGAAATGGGAGACATCTGTAACCCTGTCCACAATAAAACATAGATATAGTATTTAAAGCGTAAAAAGAAAAAAAAGAAAAGTATTCAATCTGAGTGTGTTTTTGTGTTATTTACTTTGTACACAACTTAATATTATTTTACATCTCAAAGAGTTTGCATAAAAACGCCTCAGAGATGAAATAATATGCTTTATCTTTTAAAGATGATCCACTAAAATATTAACCATAACTGTAATTCTAAACAAACGATGTTTCTATGATATTTTACTCTGAAACATTTACAATGCCATAAATGTCTACTTGCTATTTATTATATTATGCAAGTTATTTATTTTAGTAATATTGAGAAAACTAGCAAAGATGACATTTTGATAAACAAGGTTTGAGAAACTGTGAGACAACTAAAATATATATATATAATGGGGTTATAGTAGTGGATAAGCCCCAGGCATCAAACTTTATGGAAAGAATAGGCAAGAGATAAAAACTCAGGAGTTCAAACTTTGTCTCATTTTTACCAATGTAGCTATTCACAAAACGAAAATTGTATTAGCATCTAAATTTTTTTATAGCTCTGATGAGTATATTTCATAATTTATGTAAAATGATCAGGCTTCATCTTTCCCATCTTACTATTATTGTCAGGATTATTTGGGATACATGTCAAATTAACTCTTATGAATAAAAGGTAACAGGATCTGAATAATAATTAAATAATAAAATATTTTTAAATATAAAAATTAAGCAATCCAGGACACTGTGATACATTAAAACAATCAATTTGGAGTCAGACAGGCTTGGGCAGAAATCCTAGTTTTGCCAGTAGAGTTGGGTGTGACCTTGAACAGGAAATGTGACTGTTCTTATGCCTCTGTTGACTTCTGCTGTACAAGTTACAATGACAATACATGGATCTATTTGGTGATAAGATGGGATAATGTACATAAAGCACCAAGCAAACCACTGGAAACATAGCAAGCACTCAGCTGCCGATAGGCAATACGTATTTTTGGTATCGTTGCTGCTCATATTGATTCCTGAACAGCATCTATATATATAAAAGCCTAAGTGACCATTACAACAGAATGACTGGAAGGACCAGAACCACCAGTCCTATGATGTGCACTGACCACCACGGGGCAGATGCTCAATACAGGAGCTGACCCCAACCCAAAGGGCCCTGATATCTAGATTGGGCCTGCCAGCCAACCTTCTAGTCCCTCCCTCAGGCCAGCAGGCCCCTATAACCCAATTGGGGCCAGGCCCCGGGCTGGGATAGGAAACCAGCTTGGATGGTGGCAGACATAGCCCTTTCCCCAGGGCCCTCCTTGGGGCTGGTGGCCGACTTCCTGGATACCTCCCGATAGCCAGCAGGCCTTGATAGGCCTGCAGCCCGCCTGCCACAGTGAAGATTGGCCCCTCCTCCAGCCAGCAGGCCCTGATCTCCCTGATGGGACCAAGTCACAGGCTGGGATAGGGAACTGGAGGTGGTTGGCAGCAACCAACCTCTCTTGGTGCCTGGATGGAAGGCTTTGACCTCTTGCCAGCTACCTGAGGGCAGAGATGAGGAGGATGAAGTTCAGTGAGAATACAGGGTGTCCGCCGAGCTCTCTCTCACTCCCCCTACCCCCTTCCACCCTCCCCTGGGACACCAGGTCTCACCCACCGGGGAAGCCTCCGTGCTCAGGTGCTGGGTGCCACAAAGAGTCCACCCACACTCGTGTGGTCTCTTCCAGGTGAGCCAGGCTGCAGCCACTGAGATCACAGGGGCCAATTGGGCTCCCCATGGGTTTGTACAGGAGTCGGTCTGCGAGGCTGGCCAGGAGAGATCATGCTGATCACCTGGCTTCCATATGGCATAGCTGGGCAGCCTAGAAGCCCATGCTGTGCCCTGGCCCATGGTGTCCAGCCACGCTCACCACATCTCCACATGGGGACTCGGGCACTGTGACTCAGATGGAGTGGGACACGGGTGGCAAGGGGGCCCAGGTGCTGCTCTGGGGCAGAGGTCAGCTGGGACCTGCCCTTCCAGGCCAGGTGCTCACACTTTGATCACCTGCCAGGCCTAGGGACCGCACCCAGGCACAAATTTCATGCACCAGGCCTCTGGTATATCATAATTGGCAACAAAGTGTGTTAAAACAAGTAAGAGCAAAATAACTACAAAAACCCAAATCTTATAAAAAAAAAGATTATCAAAAAACATTATTAATATTTTTATTGAATAAAATGGCAATTAAAATATGAATGGAGTTTTAGAAATACTTATTCTTTCAAAACTTCTGCATGTTTAGGGTTTATCTTAAGATGAGATTTTTACAGCTTATTATAATCAGTGGTTGTGTTGTCTAAACAGCAAGTACAATGCTGCCATTATTAAAATTGTTTTAACCTTATCTAAATTCTTTCTAATGAAAATGTCCATATATTTTTAGTCTTAAATTTCAAATAAATATATCACAAAGCCATAACAAATAAATATTTGTATGGGAAGATTTTAAAAGTGAAAAACAAAACCTTATAACTTCTTAAAATGTGGATTTACATTGAAATCCATTTTATTTCTAAAGAGGAACATAGACTCCAAACCACTAAATTATAAAAATTCAGTGTATGCAAACAGAAGCAAATAATCACATTTTGTGATATTTTAAAAAGATAAATGCATCAGACAAGTCATAATATTCATATTAAAAACAAAATGTGCAGCCTGGAGATAAGGAGAAATGCCCTAAATACAAATAAATTCATGACTTCACCAGCTTAGATGTATCATAAGAAGCAGAGACAGTGTTTATTAAATGTTAATGAGAGATGTTTTCAGATGGATACTGGGATACTTTATGAAACTCCTAAATTTTAGTGGAGCACTAAAATGATGTAAAAACCGGAAACATTTGTATTAATTTCCCTGTTACTTAATACTTAGATATAGTTCAAATGCTCACCAGAGTGAAAAGTGATTAAAATACAAATTTGTTATTTGGGAATTTCAAGGTTATATGGTATAAAAACACATTCCATATATCACTCAGAACTGCCATAAGTGGAAATATAGTGTGTCTGTCAGAAAATATTGATTGTATATGAAAGGGATGATTAAACACTAAAGTACACAAAGATAGAGAAAAATTTCAAGTGAGTCACTTAAAAAATGGATTAATCTCTAGTGGTCAAAATCATGGAGACCTCATATGGCAGTGACACCTTATATTGACAATTTTCTTGTTTCTTGCTGTCCCACAAAAACACCAAAAATTCAGAAATTGAAAGAAACTACACTTTAATGATTGATTAATGTGAATAGAAATAATTATAAATGCTGAAAAAAATAGTCTAAGAGCTGATGCAATATCAATAAAATGAATATTTGACCGGCAGATCTGTCAACCAAAAACTACTGAATGATTACTCTGAAGAACACAAACATTCCAAACCTTATTTATCTAAACTGCAACTACATTATCCAGCTTGTAACTCTTCAAGTAGATATCCTCTTCCTCCACCCCCCAAATAGCAAGGATTGAAAAAATAAAAATAAATCAGTTTAAGTGATAAAAAAAGAAATAACAAAATTAAATAAAATTTACTCTTACTTTGAATGATAAAGTTTTGAGAACATACCTTTTTTGTTGTTATTTCAAAAATCACTAAGAATATAGCTGAATGTAACTTTTTGAAAAATGGATTACATTCTTATTACATATGCTTTATTATCTGGTTGTATATTAAATATTATATTACATATATTAGTAACTTGGCTAAATGTACAAAATATATTTTAAGTACCAAGACATACTTCTATTAATTAAATATTATTAAGTGGTAAATAAAACATTTATGTACAAATTATATATATATGTATGTACATGATATAATTATTACATCATATGTTAAGATCATTAATTATATGTTATCACATATCAGTAATATGAATAGAATATATTATTAGGTAATGTTATTAATATTATATAATAGTGACTAATATTACTATTATCAAATATTTATTTTAAAAGTTGTACTTGAAAATGCTAACCTAAGCATACATTTTCTCCTCTCACAAAATCAGGCAGAAATTGAAAACTTACAAAATGTTAAAACTTACTTCAATGTTAAAACCACATAAAGGTGAGTCTCGGTGATACTGAGCTGCCCATCAGCATGACAGAATTTGTGATGAGTTTATAAAAGGCAAAGAACAGATGGAAATAGGCCAGTGGATAAAATTGACTCAAAGAAGCCGCATTTCAGAAAGGGCTCAGGAAATAAGAACAGAATGTGGGATTTGTTCTGTCCATCAGTTTCAGAGTGTGGGAGTTGTTTTGCCCATCAACACTGAATTTAGGTAGGAAGAATGGAAATGATAAACAGGACCACAATATGGACTAATGTTCTACATGTCCATCCCCAGAAGAGCTACTGCACACTTCTTAGAGTTCCACTGTGTTGGAGCATGAGATCCAGATATTTCAATAAACATATCCTTTAAGTTATATTTTAGTTGTGCACATCATAGAAAATATTCTGCATCTGAAAACATATTTGAAACCAGTTGTTTAACTGCTAATTCCCTTGGAGAATCCATTTACTTTTGGCTTTTACATTGGAACGTCATTTGTATTGCACTTTGTTATCTGGAATTTACATGTCTAATGTGTTTTTTTCGACAACTAGATTTAAAGATCCTGAAAGCAGAGAACACATTTTATAATTTTTCTCTCCAAAGTGTCTTGTTCATGGCTGGTAAAATAAATCTCTATCATTTTACATTTTAATCAAATTGAGAGATTACTAGTAAGTTCTGTCCTCTAATGGGTATAACAAGCCACTGGTGTGAGTATAAGATGGTTTCCTGAGATTTCTAATCATCTATAGGCTGAGTGTTCTGATTTCATAATGAACTACTCTTCAGCTGGTACTGACTAGTTTACTACTATTGTATTTCTGTGACCTTTACCTGATTCATAAATAATGTTAATTACATGCTCCAACATAGTTAACTTTTTAGTTGTTTTTTTTTTTTTTTTGGGGGGGGGTATATGTGGACACAAAGATACACAAATCTTGTTTTTAATGGGTAGAAATAAAAACATAATGATATATAGTAGATGGGAATATGGAGCAAGTCAAAATGTCTTTGACATTCATGATTAAAATTAAAGAAGAAAAGAAAAAGATATGTTGAAAGGAGAGAAGAAGAACTTAAGAAAGAAAGGATAGAGTAAAGAAGGAAGGAAGGGAGGCAGGGAGGGAGAGAGAAAGGAAGAAAGAAAAGAAAAAGGGAAGGAGGAAAGGTCAGATGGAGGGAGGGAAGAAGGACAGCCTAATATATCATATGGCTATTAAAGTAGAAAGCACCCTAATTGATTTATGTTTTTCTAAGAAGGTTCATTGAAGCCAAAATCTATTGTGTTAAAGTATCATCTGTTTATAATGAAAAAAAATTGGGGTACTCTGGGATCCTCAGTTAAGTAGTCATAGATATGTCAACAAAGGGGATTTTCAGTTTTGCTCAATAACAGACCTTCACTGACTCTAGTCAAAGTTTTTGGTCCTGGTCTGACTATTGTCATAGTAATTTAAGGTTAAAAAAGAGGAAAATACTGTATTTTAAATTACTCAGAATTTTTAGCTTATCAAAAAAAAAACACATAGGGAGATGGAAGGAAAGTGAAAGAAGGAGGGGGGAGAAAGGAAGAAGAAGGAGGAGTGGGAGAGAAAGACAAGATGATAGATAGATAGATAGATAGATAGATAGATAGATAGATAGATAGAGGATTTCTCTGTCCAGGTTGTGCATTTGATTACTGTGGCTCAAACAGGAGAAAATCAGATACACGAAGCTCTTAGGACATTTGAGAAAAAGCAAGCAGAGGTCTATTCTTTATAAAAGTGTACTGGTATTGATTTATCTGATTAGCAAGAATATATGACTGAACCAGACAGGGAGTCAGATTTCATTACTGATCTCAGTTTTTCACCCAAAGTGACATTTACTATTGAAAGAGCTCATGAATCACAGAAAGTAGAGACTATTTGTCTATAGAACTTGCTTATGAATAGCTCTAAAGAAAATAATTTTGGTACCCAGGTAATCAATTATAATAGGTCAAATATAACTTTTATCTGGCTTTGAAATACAGTGCTTCAAATGGCTCGTTTAATTTTTAATGTGTTACACGCATTTTTTTCCTTATTGATTAAGGTATTACATATGTGTCCTCATTTAATTTTTATTCCTTATTTTTCCATCTTTAGTACTTTGTTTCTTGGGCCTTATGCTAAATTTTGAATTCTCAGCATGTATATTTTGTATTAAATAACTATTCTAAAGCAGTGCTTAGAACAAGGGTGACTTTAATAAATATTTTTGAATGAATGATTAAATAAACATCATAATAGTACAGTTTACCCTCCAGTTTGTAGCTTCCTGAGTAAATGTGATATGCAATATGATTGAGAGTGCATGATATAGGATCAGAGTGATTAGCTGCAGCCACTTATTGCTTGAGTGTCCTTAGATGCTATAAAAATAACACCTACATTATATTCTTAAATGAGATTAGAGAATGCAAGTGAGATTGTACACCAAAAGTAAAATTTCAAGGAAGTACCTGAACATAGCTATGGATGAATGTATGATGAAATGGAAAATCCAGAAGAGGATGATTGGCTTTGATTCAAGGAAAATAATAGAAAACCTGCATTTTTCCTTTCCTAAAATTTAGCAGATCAATAGTAACATTGACATCATTGTCGTTTGACAATTTGTCCACTTAGGGGCTATGATATGTGCTATGCATAAATTAAAACAATGTTAACTTGAGACACTCATAGGCTAATTCTACAATGTAAGTTCTCAAATGTGTACCCCAAGTTAATCCACTCTGCTTTCTAGGAATATTGTGGGAATCTGAAAACAAATTCACAAAGATCTGTGCCTTAGATTTTAACATGAAAAGTAAAATATAATCTATAAGTATGGCAAAGCTTTTAAAAGAAACTAATGAAAAAGGGGGAGGGAGAAAAATCATTGAATCCTAGAATTTACAAGTTTAGGAACAAATATGGAAAACTCTATGCCTCACTGTATAAACACTGTGGTAAGCTTATCATGGCTATTTTATATCATTGCCATTTATTTGGTTATTTTGGAACAAATCCACATTGGAAACATTTTCTGCAGTCAGCAATGAAGTGCCTTTTAAAATTAATATTCGAGAACCGGATCTTTACTTTCCGAGTTGTCTGAGAAAAGGTAATAAGGGATACAAACTTGAGCACTGGCACTAAAAAAAGATCTGGGTGTGAGTCGTGGATCCTTCACTTCCTGCGGCTGTCCTGGTGCAAATTACTGAACTTGCACTCATATGAGCATAATGAAATCACACATGTAAAACACTTAAAGGAACGGCTGACGTGAGCATTGTTAGATATCACTTTAAGGTTTTAAAAATGGCCATTATCACAAGAAATGATAGTCGATCACCCAACACTTGAGTCTCTTAGAATCAATTATATCAACTTGATGTGACATAAGTTAGGATGTAAAAAAAACAGTCATTACAAAGGTGATAGGGAAGAGGGAGTGATAGAGTATAAACATGCAGGATCCAAAAAAACAAACAAACCTGGATGGCTATGACTTTCAAACACAACCGAATACCAATGTGAAGGAGGAATCTTTGCCTCCAAAAGGTCAGTTCATTTTGTGGGCCACCTGTTTTTCAAATTCTAAACATGAACGTAGGATCTCTTTAAAGAATGGTCTCAATCAATTTTTTAGGTATAAGAACCTAGCACTTGGAAACATTCACAGCACACGAAACCAGTCTTTACAAAGGTGATCCAAGAGTCTCCTCCAATATACTAGTAAATGCACTTTCCTGGGTGGGCCTTGTGAGGTACTCCAGTTTCATTTGATTTTTGCTTGTATTTTGTCAGGGTACCTCAAGCACCCATATCTGTCTAAGGCAGTATAACATGAGCATTCAAAAAGTACCTCTAATATTAAATTGCCATTAATAAAATAAGGATTTTTAACATACCGAGGCCTTGTGTCTTAGCTTTCTGTCTCTAGCAGCCCTTGCTCTTTCGTTGCTGGTAAAATAATGCAAGGTGCCATATTCCATCAAGGCTGCAAAAACGAAAATGAAACACACAGAAACAAAGAGATCCATCGCCGTCACGTAGGAAACCTTGGGTAAGGACTTCCTGGCAATGGTACTCAGCGTGGTCATGGTCAGCACGGTGGTAATGCCTGCGGAGGGAGGGAGACAGTAGAAGATGAAAAATAACCTAACAAGCCATTTTCATCCTGTCTCCTGATTTTGCAATATTGTGAGCAGCAATAAACAATGGACACAAAAGGGTATGATTACTGTGATTTGCAGGGGGAGAAAAAATACTGGTAACCATAGCTACGTTCTGTTCAAAGCGTTCTCCTGTCTGTGTTTTAGTCATCTCAATTCCGTGGACTGCAAGTACTTGACTCCCTGTACCCATCCTTCCTTTGCTCTGTAGTAACAGAGTATTCCATTTTTAAAAGTCACAAGGCTGCCTATAAACCCCATTGTGCCAAAAGGGATTTATTTGTTCTTAAAAGGGATGTTTAGACTATAGACTTTAAGTCTCTCTTCCTTTCTAATATCGGCATTATAAAGCCATAACTTTTTCCAGGCTGGGATGGCTAAATGGATTGAGTGTTGTCCTATGAACAAAGAGGTCCTGAGTTTGATTCCCAGGTCAGAGCGCATGCCTTAGTTACGGGCTGGATCCCCAGGAGGGGGCATGCAGAAGGTAGCCATTCTATGTGTCTCTCTCATCGATGTTTTTATCTCTTTCTCCTTCTCCTTCCCTCTCTCTTAAAAATAAATATAAACGTATTTAAAGCTATAATTTCCCTTTAAGCAATACTTTACCTGTGTCTTGCAAAGATTGATATATATTACATATCTATGAAACTTATTTTGAAATATTTTCTACTTTCTCTTTTGATCCAAGGGTTATCTAAAAGGCTATGCCTTAATTTCTAAATATATGAGGGCATGATTATCCATCTTATTTTTAGAAAAAAAAATTTTTTTAATTTACTTCTATTTCGGTCAGAAAATATAGTCTGGAAAATTTTAGTCTTTTGAATTCTATCACATTATTAAGCAGATTCATTAATGTTTCCTCCATGGCTTTCCTGCTCAAAAATCCTATAATAATCTCCTACCACATTTGGAATAAAAACCAAAAAGTCCTTAGAAAAACCTACTAAATTGTATGTAATCTAACCACTGCCCACCCTCTCTAATCCCCCCCCCCTCTCCCCCACTTGTCGGTCAGCTCTAAGCCACAGTTATCTTTCTGGACACCAATCATGGCATGGTGAGGAAGATCCCACTTCGGAACCTTCTGTTCTCCTGGCCTGCACCATCTTTCTACCAGTTTTCGGCCAGGTTCGCTCGCACACTTCCCAAGTCCCTGCTATCTCCTCTGAGAGGTCTAGCCTGACCACCAGATAAAAGAGCAAACATTATGTCTATCAGCCTCTAGTGCTATTCTCTAGCCATTTCTCTTTCTTTTTGCTTTCTCTTTATAACCTTTAGCACTCATTGACATTTTTCCTATGCTTTTTATATCTGTACATTAACTCTATATGCCACCAAAACGTAAGTGCCATAGACATGAGGATTTTATAAATATTGTTCACTGTTAATACTAAAGCACCTAGAACACTGCCTCTTTTATCAAAAGCATTTGATACAAGTTTATAGACATGAAATCCTATATAATAAAGAGCTAATCAGACTGGATGGTGAAATCACCTTCTGGGCGACCTTCCAGAATGACCAGTGGGCGGGGCTATGAGGCTGGGAGGAGGTAGCCGGGCTGCAAGGGCTGAGCCTCTTGCACAAATTTTATGCATTGAGCCTCTAGCATTGAATAAGTAAGCTCAGGGAATTGTCCTTCAAATGTAAAAAACTTTATATTCCAACTACATAGAATCCATAATTATAAGATATCCTTCAATTTAGATCTATCCCTTCTCTTTACTAATATAAAAAATATTAATTTATGCAAAAAAAATTCCACAATTGGCTATTCTCTTTCATGAAACTGTGGGCTTCAGACAAACCCAATAGTATAATATAATTTATTCAAATCATTTTTAGATATATACAATAATAATGTTAAAAACAAAAATATAATATTTAAGTTATATTCAAAGTAGCATATAAAAAAAATCATTTCTTTTTCCTTGACATGAAATGTAATTTGAAATTATAATTATTTAAAATAGAAAACAAATCTCAGGTATGAGGGCACTTTATCCACTAGCTATGCCTACATTTCTGCTTAGATTCCCAGAGGAAATGCATTTCCAAACACAGAGCTGGATGCCTCAGGCTTTAACTTGCTACTTTTATGAGATTTGCATTTTACTGTATTTGTGAGTAAAGTTATTCACTGCTATCTATCATAGAAACAAAATGAAAACCTCTTTGCTGTTGAAAAGCTCTAACTTTCTTTGTAAGACACAATTTTCAGCAATGTGATTCACTTCCTGCACTATTGTATTCTTGGGAATTGATCAGTGAGTGGTCTTTGTATATTAATGCATGAATTTAAGGTGTCATCTATAATAATAGAAGCATAATATGCTAATTATACTGGACATCCTTCCGGATAACCTTCCAGACAAAGCCAGGGCTGAGAGGGAAGCCCGGGTCCTGGCTGCCAGAGGGAAGCTGGTGTTGGTAGCTGGGGGAAGGAAGGTCTACTTACTCTTGCATGAATTTCGTGCACCAGGCCTCTAGTTTTTTAAACAAATGTATAGCAATTAGAAAAATTTTTCTTATACGATTATTATTGTAATGGGTTGCTAAAGAATGAAAATAAAAGTTTATTATATCAAGTGTGAATTACAAATTACCTTTTAAAGTGGTGTTATGTTACAGGAAATTCTCAGAAGTATTCACAGATTATATCCACAGTCTATAGATTACCAAAGCCTATAAGATAATTGTTTCTGATCTGGCCAGTGTTGCTAAGTGGCTAGAGCATTGGCCTGTACACCTGAGGGTCACAGTTTCATTCCTGGTCCAGGGCATGTGCTTGGGTTGCAGGTTCTATCCCTGGCCCTGATCAGGGCTCATGTAGTACACATCAATATTTCTCTCTCTATCTCTCCCCAGCCTCCCTCCCACTTTCTCTAAAAATTAATGGGGGAAAAATATCATTGGGTGAGGATTAATAACAACAAAAAGATTCTTATTCCTCTCAGCAACCTGCCCTTCAGAACAGTTGACTATTCCTTAGCACCATTGTAAGAGGAAGGCGCTTCAAAGTCTTCTTAGCACACACTAGTCAATAAATGTTGGCTGTTAGTGATCCAGCTAAAAAAGAAAATAAAATCTTGAAATTGCTGACTAAATTTATTCCAGTGATTATGTATGATTTTTATGTATATTAATTCTTGCAGTGTACGCATGTTTTCCTTGGCTTCTAGTAATAGAAACAATGAAAATATTTTCTGAAGTTCTAAGTTCTTTGCATTTCTATTTCATTTTGTTTTTCGTGTATGCATTTCAACATTATATTACAATAGAGTAACTTAATTTTTGCTTGATTGAAGTGTAGAGAAATATTTTAATATATTCAACAATAAAGTTTATCACATTAAAATATTTGAAAAAGTCCCATGACACTTAATGGGACTTATAGCATTATATGACATGTCATACCCAGTGAGGTTCTCGCAGGCACTGCATCTTTATTGATCCAGAAAGACACCCAAGAAAGAACAACTGTCAGAATGCATGGGATGTAGGTCTGAATAGTGAAATATCCCATTCGTCTGCTCAGGTCAAAAAAAATTGTCATGATCATATAATCCCCTGAAAGGAAAAAAAAAGTTTTATCATGGTTATAAGTACAAAAGTATAGATTCCAACCCGTAAGTTGAAATACAAATGCTATTTCACCAATTTTGTGTTTCTTTCTTACCAGACATCGTGTGATAAACTTGGGTTGAGTTCCGCAACCCTACAAATGCAAACTGATATAATCTCCAAAATTTAGGATCAGCCACTTCTACAGAAGTTTTTTTCCACTTATAGACAATTTCATCTTTAGGGTATCCATCTAGATAACATGTTAAAATAAAATACATAAATTAGCAAGATCCAAATCTGTTACAGTTGCCATACCAACATTATCCGAAGACAATTTTTTTTGAAATTCTTCTTCACTGTTCTACTATACTATATGCCAAAAATACCCCATAAAATCTACTTGTGTATTTTAAAGAATAATGACAATTCATGTAACTCCACATAAATTAGGAAATAGAACCCTGCTAGTATCCAGGAAATGTCATATGACAACCCCAATATAGCATTTTCTCTCCCACCTGGAGGTAAACACCAACCTTCTTTCTAGGGTAATGCTTTAATTTTTTTGTAGTTGTTATAGATATTTTGGTATGCATTTCTAAAAAATAGTTTATTTTTTGAATTCTAGTTGATTGCTACTTTATTGAATGTATTATTATATATTTTACTTCTTTTAATATATTTATGCAGTGGATTTTTTTTTTTTTTGCAGATTTTTTGTATAGTGATTTTGTATCCTGCAACTTTACTGTATTTACTTATTGTTTCTAATAGTTTTTTTGGTGGAGTCTTTAGTGTTTTCTATATATAGAATTATGTTTTTCACAAAAAGTGACAGTTATACTTCTTTCTTCCTTATTTGGATGCCTTTTTTTTTTCTTTCTCTTGTCTATTGCTCTTGTTAGGACTTCCAGTACTATATATATATATAAAAGGCTAATATGAAAAGTGTTTGACAGGGAGACCGGGAGTTGGGTCACTTGCTATGATGTGCACTGACAACCAGGGGGCAGTGGGGAATGAAGGAAGGCCCCAGCTGGCAGCCGACAGCTGGGAAGGAAGACCCCGGCCAGCAGCCAAAAAGTCCCAACCGGCCCTGATTGCCTGCCAGGCTTAGGGACCCTACCTGTGCACGAATATTGTGCACTGGGCCTCTATGTTGAATAAGAGTGGTAAGAGTGGGCATCCTTGTCTTATGCTTAATCTTAGAGGAAACACTTTCAGTTTTTCACAATTGATTATGATATTAGCTGAGGGTTTCTTATATATTGCCTTTTTTATGGTAAGGCACTTTTCTTCTATGCTCATTTTATTGAGTGTTTTAATCATAAATGGATATTACATCTTAGCAAATGCATTTTATGTATTTATTTGATAAAGTCATATGATTTTTAATATTTTGTTAAGGTGATGTATTATATTGATTGACTTGCATATGCTGAAACATCATTGTGCCTCTAGAATGAATTCCACTTAATAATGACGTATTAATTGTTGAAAGTATTGTTGTATTCCATTTGATAATATTTTATTTAGGATTTTTGCATCTGCATTCATCAGGAATATTGATCTATAGTTTTTTTTTCTTGTGTTACTCTTGGCAATTTTTGGTATCAGCATTATGTTGCCTCATAAAATGTTAAGAAATATTGACTCTTTGTCATTTTCTTTGGAAAACTTTGAGCAGGATAGGTATCAAATCTTTTTGAATGTTTGGTAGAATTCACTGGTGAAGCCATATGATCCTGGAATTTTATATTTTGGGAGGTTTTTGATGGTTGTTTTAATTTTCCCTCTGTTGACCAGTCTATTTAGATTTTCCAATTCTTCATGATTCAGCCTAGAAAAATATATTTCTAGGAATATTCCATTTCTCTTAAGTTAATGGATTTGGTGGGATACAGACTTTCATAATGTTCTAGTATGAATCTTTGTACATCTGTGATGTCTGTGGTAACTTTTCTTTCATTTCCAATTTATTTATATGAGTTTTTCCTCATTTTTCCTTAGTGAGTCACCCAAGGGTTTGTCAATTATATTAATCATTTCAAAGAACCAGATCTTTGTTGTGTGTGTGTGTGTGTGTGTGTGTGTGTGTGTGTGTGTGTGTGTAGCCCTTTTGTTCTTTATTTTAGTTTGGCTCTAATTTTTACTATTTCCTTGATTCTGTTAATTTTGGGTCATTTTTGTCCTTCATTTTCTAGTTCTTTCAGGTTTTTTACTTGAGATTTCCCTTGTTTCTTGAGATAGGCCTGTAATGATATAAGCTGCCCTCTTATTACTGCTTTCACTACATCCCAGAAGTTTTGATAAGTTGTTTTGTCATTCTCATTAGTCTCTATATATCTGTTGATTTATGAAATCATTATGTATTTTATCACTTACAGCTTGAAAATTCTAGTGGACAGGAATGTTCATCCATAGGAAAGTTATGAAGCTGAAGATAACATTCTGCATTAATGGTCAACCTATTTAGGTGGAAAAAATAAATATTAAAAATGAGACATAATTTCAAGTATTGAAATTATTTTCTCTAATTATCAAGCACAATTTTGGCCTACAATAATGAACTTTGATATACTAGGAAATAATGATTCTATAATCTTGAAGTCTTGTGTCGCAATATTATAACACTCATAAATGAGTTAGATAATTCTAACATTTCCCTCTCTAGCCAACTAAGCTACCTCTGCATCCATTTAGTCTAATGTTTTTTAACTATTAAAAATTTGTGCTTCAGGAGATCAATACACATACATATGGGCTTGTGCATGTGCACACACACAATTAACAGAGTGTACATGGTTAAGTATGATAGGTTTTCCTCTTAATTTATCATGAACATCTTTCCAGTATGGATTATCCTTAACAAGTAAATATGTTCATGACAACGAATTTAGATAAACCCGAATCTTACACATCAGCATTCATTTAATCTTTTATTAAGGGATTTTTTTTTACTACATTATAAAAATCATGGTGTTACTGTGAGCATAAACAAGAGTTTTTTGTTTTTTATTTTATCATGCTAAATTTTAATGTATAAACGGAGCATCATAGTTCTTACTTACTCTGCAACTTTAAAAAGGGGAAATTCATGAGTTGACCAAATATTAGTATGAAAAATAAGTTAGAGCAATGATACTTTTTAAAACAGTACCACCTTAAAGTATATAGGACTCGTCCATCATTCCAAATTCGAAGCAGACGATTAGGAGTCGTTATCCAATGAGCATCAGATTTTCTTGAGTTTCTGAAGAAAGTGTCAGGAATCCAAATTTTCCCAACCATATTGCTGTTAAGTACAAGCACTTTCATTGTACTATTGAATTTTAAACGCCTATCATACCAGCTTTGGGCAAAAATAATATCAATTGTGTATTCCTGAAAGACAAAAAGAAGAATAATGTGTAATAGAAAAGCCACTCTTTTACGTGTTTTCTTTAGATGTTTGAATCTTTATATTAAAAAAGTTTCTTTAGCCGAAACCGGTTTGGCTCAGTGGATAGAGCTTCAGCCTGTGGACTGAAAGGTCCCAGGTTCGATTCCAGTCAAGGGTGTGTACCTTGGTTGTGGGTACATCCCAGTAGGAGGTGTGCAGGAGGCAGCTGATCAATGTTTCTTTCTCATTGATGTTTCTAGTTCTCTATCCCTCTTCCTTCCTCTTTGTAAAAAAATTGATAAAATAAATTTGTTTTAAAAAGTGACACTTGATAACTATCTAATCTAGAGGCTGGGTTTAGTAAGCAGCTGTGAATTTTTCTAGTAGCAGCTGACAGGATCTTCTCTAGAATACCTGTTTATAAAAATGCTAACCACTGTTGAAAGAGCTATGATTTCCAAAGGGCACACTCTCTCAAGCAGAGAATATTGAGGACATCTAAAAACTTTTTCTATTCAAAAATTATCTCCTCAATCCAGGATCAAGAAGAGAAAGATGTCTTGATAATCTATCCTTCCCAAATCCATAACAGAAGTTAATAATTACAAGGTTTTTTAAATTACTAATTCTTAATAAGTGTCTGACTAAGATAAGAAGGTCATTACAGTTTGTGCCATTTGATATCTAACCAAAAATACAATTTTGTTTACTAGTTTGTATTAGTGTAATTTCCAGAACATGATTAAACTGTTCTTGTACTTCATGTTCCCAGTTAGAGATTATAATAAGCTGCATACTAAATAAGAAAAATAAACATGAAAAGAAAATTCCATTTACCCAGAACCAGTGCAATAGCCTCTAGGATAGACATTTGGAGATAAGGAACAAGGATTTTAACATGTGAGAGCCAATGAACATTATGAAATTTACGTTGCTTCCTTGAAAGTTAGCTGAGAACACAGCATTAGTAAGTAAAGAAGTGAATCAGTTTGATTTCTAATTCCATTAAGTCTAACAGTAATTGATGAAAGTGTATATAGTATAATATTCCCATTACACTGTCAGTTTTCCAATTATGCACGGGTCTCATACTTAACTAGCTAATTCAATATTACTGTCTTTCTAGTAATGAAAGAAAACTTCATATATTATAAAATGCAGACCTACTTAAGAAACTATGATAGGTGAATGATTTCATTATGAAATTTGGTTGATTGTGACCTGGTCTTCCCAGGAAATTAATCTCTCCCTAAATTATCTATTCACATGTCCAGATATTATGAGGGGCCAGTTAATGGTTAGCAGTAAATCAAATCTAAGGGCTACAGCCGTGTTGAGAAAAGGTACAAATGTAGTTTGCAGGGAGGCGATGAAGTGTGAGTCTCGAGTCAAATGCAGTCTGGAGAAAGAATCTCTCTTCCTCAAGGGACCTCACTCAGTCCTTTCTCTTAAAGCTGTCACTGATTGGATAATATCCACCTTCCTTAGAAATGATAATCTGATTTACCTAAAGTCTAGTGATTTAAATGTTTGTTGCATCTAAAAAATGCCTTTACAGCAACATGCAGAATTTGTCAAACCAAGCTTGATGTCAGAACCACCAAGCAGGACAGGTCCATTCTACCACATTAGCATGCCCACAAATCTATAAAGACAAAATTGTAACTAACCTGGGTCTCTATCTTGAAAATAATTCAAAATAGACACCTCTAAAGTCTGACAAAGATGTATCCGAGGTCTCAGAGGTGTAAGTAGCATGACAGTTGTAATATAATGAGCAAAAGAACTCAATAGTATAAAATATTCATAATATTATGGTATTTAGTAAAATGCTGAATCCTGGATAACAACAATCTAGAATATTTTTTTTCTTTCACTTATATCAAATTTCTATATTGGACCTAAATTGCTTCTATAATAAACAGATACATTATTTTTATGAATTTTTTTCATAAAAACAACATAAAGTCATCATTTGCAACTTAAAATATATTTGGGCTCATACACAGCCTTTTTCTTGGCCATCTATATTGCTTTATTTTTCATTGTGTAGCCAGTCTCCCTGCTAGGTTTTAGCTTCTCTGAAGGAAGGAAGCAATATAATTTAGTGGAAATAACCACCTGTAACAATATATGTAATAAACACATGTAAGGCAAACAAAAACCTGAAATAAGAAATATATTTTTATATAAAAAAGCTAATATCATTTTTATATTAAGAAGATCAGAGGTTAATTTAATTTCAAATTCTAAGATCTTTAATGCCATCTATATATGGGTAAATGAGCATACTAAGTAAAGAGGCATAGAAATGAAAACAATACTGTTCATTTATAATTTCTTATTTGATCTCTTGGTGTTCAATCAAAATGTACTTATATTTTATATTGTTTTAAAGCCTGTGAAAAGAACTAGATTTAAGTCGCTAATGCCAAAAGAAATATGTTAATGCAATTTAAAAAAGTAACAAAATTAAAACTATGGTAATAAACCTCAAAGTATTGTACAAACCAAGAAAATGAAGTTTAAACTGCTAAATGTAAATTCTTTTTCCCCCCAATTATTTTAATTCATCATGTCCAGAAAGATTAATTAAACTCCTTCTCTTTCCCTCCATTAGCATATGCAGGTCAGTTATCTAGATGGGGGGCGGGGAATCTAGTTTCTATGATTTTGCTAACTGACAATTTCTCAAATTAATATACCTATTTAGAGGTAACAGTTTCCTGTTAAAAGAGTAAAAGGAATAATCAGGATTGCTTTAATATGCACAAGCTACGCTTCAGATACTATTTTCTTAAATCTAGAAGCTGAAATAACAAAAAAAGAGAAGGAAGGAACAAGAGGTACGAGCAGAGAAAAAGAGAGATAAACTTATTGAACATTAGGACCCATTGCACAAATCATGCTGAAGACATGTGTGCCTTTAAATTGAAGAAATTCATGGAAAAACACTAGTCTGTGAGCACCAGCTTCTCTATTTAGAATGTTTGAATACAGTTATATGTCTCAGGGGTTTATTACCAAAAATGAGGTAGATATAACAAGAGAAAGCAAAAAAGACTTAAAAGTCCTTTCTCACCATATTTAAACAGATTATTAAACTATACACCTACCCCTCACAAACACACATACACGTTTGATACTTGGCCATCCCACTTGTATAACCACTCTCTTGCTTGCTTAATTAGACTCAAGTCTGCCTGCTTGATTGCACTCATATTCAAAGCAATTTTGTTCATTTGATGAAAACTGAATTTTAATTTTTCTGTATTGTTTAGTTAAAACAGTCTTCTATGTAAACTGCTCCTCATTAATCCCTAATACTTCTCTTTTAATAAACAGTATCAAACATTCTTAATTTTTCCTGTATGTACTTTAGTATCACCAGTTTTAATAACAGTTTAATTTAATTAGCCTTTAAAAAAATGATCACTGTTCCAGATCATACGTGTGTAATTATGTCACTGGGAAATGAATCTTCAGTACTATGAAACTTTTATATAGTCAGATCATCATAATTGGCTCTTGGTACTCATTTTTGTCAAATATCTCTGGAACACTAATACAGCCTTGAATCCTATTTTGGTTTATTTTAACAAACATATATTTTTCTTTAATGAATTCACTAAAATGGAAAACAAAAGCCCAGAGCAAAAAATACACAATTCATGAAACTGTAGACTTCCATATGCTCTTACAGGCTTATCTCCTCTAAGCATTGGTTAATTAAAAATGAATATTTTAAGATTTTCCAAAAGAAAATAACATTTCAGTTATATATTGTTTTATGAAATCTCATATCTGCATAATGTTAAATAATATGCACACAGATATTTAGAATGATTTGTCTTTACAATAATCAACTGGTTGTATAGGAGTTCCATTTAAACTAGAGCTAATATTAAAAATTTTATTGAAACTTTTTTTTTCATGGCTTATTTGCCACTGTTTTATCATAATTTTCTTGCCATCCATGCTATTTTATTTACTATATCAGCCTCGTATTTTGTACAGATTCCTTAAATGTACATATTCCTTAAAGTCTGATACTCATTTCTTTTTTCTTTTTTTCTATTCTTTATAAGATTGTTTTCTTTGTGTCTCAGGATTTAGCTAATTACTGAAAGATATTGCTCCAGTGCTAACATTTCCCTGAGAGTTAGTTTCTAATTTCAGACTGTCAAATTCAACTTCTCCACAGCCTATTCACATTCATTTGCTGTGAGGTTACAGAGAGGTCCTGCTGTGGCCGCAATGCTCTCCGTCAGTACAGGCAGCTGTGAAAGTTCATGGCAATCATATGAACATCATACTGAGTAAGAAAGAAAAAAATAAAACCACACATAGCCTGACTATAATACCATGAGAATGAGCAGACACAGGCGCTTGTTAGGGATGATGACTGTGCAGATATAAAGGGGTTAAATCCTTGTAATAAAGAAACAAGTTGCCTGCTGAAATAACGAATACATAAAATAAAGGAGCAAACCAGCAAAATCTGAGAGAATTCTATTCCGATGGTGTGATGGGCTGAAATGTATTGCCACAAAATTCATATGAAGCCCTAACCCTCAGTACCTCAGAATGTGAAGTACTTGGAGCTAAGTCTTTTAAGGGGGTTATAACATTACAATAAGGTTGCCAAAACCGGTTTGGCTTAGTTGATAGAGCGTTGGCTTGTGGACTGAAAGGTCCTAGGTTCAATTCTGATCAAGGATATATATCTTGGTTGCAGGCACAACCCCAGTAAGGAGTGTACAGTAGGCAGCTGATCGATGTTTCTCTCTCATCGATGTTTCTAACTCTCTATCCCTCTCCCTTCCTCTCTGTAAAAAATCAATAAAATTTATTTTAAAAAATTACAATAAGGTTATTAGACTGGGCCCTAAGCAAATCTGACTGGTGTCCTTTTAGAAGATAAAATTCGAACACACAAAGAGACACCAGTGATGTGCTAGCAGAGAGAATAGCTTCTGTGAGGACACAGAAAGATGGTAGGCATCTGAAAACAAAGGAGAAAGGGTTTTTAAGAAAAACTAAACTTGCTACAGTCTTGATTTGGGCTACTGTGTTTCAGAACTGGAGAAATAATGTCTCCTGTCTGAGCCATCTAGTTTGTAGTGTGTTCGTTTGTTTGTTTGTTTGTTTGTTTGGTTTTGGTGATTTTTGTTTATTTTTTGCTGTCTTCAAAGACTAGCAGAGATGAAAAAATCAAGGGAGATAAATATAAGACATTATTGAATCCACTGAATAGGTCCTCTTAAGTAATTTGACTCACATAAATGGGATTATTAGGGTTTGGGGCAGATCATTTTTAACCTAGTTTTAAAATTTTCTATGGGTTCTATTGGAGGAGTTAAGTCTTTAAACCAGTAGTAAAATGCTATCCATTCAATTTATAAAGGTAAAACATAACTAGCAGTCCAAGCTGGTTTGGCTCAGTGGATAGAGCATCTGCCTGTGGATAAAAGGGTCCTGGGTTTGATTCCAGTCTGGGGCACAGGCCAGGTTGCAGGATCGATCCCCAGTAGGGGGCGTGCAGAAGGCAGCCAATGAATGATTCACTCTCATTATTGATGTTTCTATCTCTCTCTCTCTCTTCTTCTCCTTTCCTCTGAAATCAATAAAAATATATTTTAAAACCACATAAATAACACTCTTTATCATTTTCCATCCTAAATGACCTTCCTTTAAATTTTCTCTTATTTTCTCTCATCTCTCCCATATCTACCACAATACTCATCCAATTCTCTTCTAAGTGAAGTATGTCAAAATCACAAAAGTACTACATTCCCACTATAGTCCCATCAACACATGTTGCATGTCTATTCCTATAGCCCATGTTATGTCTTCAAGGACCTGTGACAAGAAGTGGGATAGGAGACCAATTTTGAGGATGGAGGAGAGATGTAAAATTCAGTTGTTATTTCTTTTCTACCTTCATTATCCCATGGAATTTCATCTAACAAAGTTAACCAGTATCATCTAACAGCCAACAGCCATGGGCCCAACTTAATCCATTTTTCATTGGATTATCACTTACGTTGGTAATTGATTATTAGTTCCTTCTTCTTCACACACTTTAATTTTTCTGACTATATAATATCTGTTGCTGGTTCTTCTCCTACCCCTCTCATTTTTACACATCCCTTTTTTTGCACCCCTCTTTCTTCCATCTGTATTTTATAGACATTGGTCTCATTTTAACATCTGGTTCTTAGATCTATGTCCTTCTTCATTTCCATTTTCTCTTGGATCATTTCATGTAGTATTGAGGTTTTAAGTATTCTGTATTCTGCTTGTACCTCTTCCCTTCCCATTTACATCTGTATTCACACATAACTCTTCCCTGACCAGCAGTCTCAAAATCCAAATGATTGCTGGACAGCCTTTCTGGCACATATCCATATTCTCTGTTTCAAATAGTAACTCTACCATCTGCAAAGTCTTCTCAGTTACATACCTTGGAGTCAGCCTATGCACAACAAATGAAACTCTAAAGTCTGTAAAGTTCACTCATCTAATATTTCTTAAATGTACTAGTGTCTTCTCCTGCTCAATTGCTACTACTCTAGGTAAGGCCTTCATGATCTGTTATCCAGACTAATGCAATAACCTCCTAAGTGGTCACTCTAATGCTGGCTTAGCCCCTTACATCCATCTTCTATGCTTTTGTAAGAATGGCCTATTAGATACATAAATCTGTAGCCCTGACTGGTGTGGCTCACTTGGTTGGAGCACCAACCTGTACACAGGAAATTTGAAAATTCCATTCCCAGTTAGGACATAACTTAGGCTGTGGGTTCATTCCTGGTCTGAGCCCTTATGAAAGGCAACCAGTCAATGTTTCTCCCCCCATCTTCGTCTCCTTCCCTATCTCTCTCTCTCTCATCCTCTCACTCTAAAATTAATAAAAATATCCTTGAGTAAGGATTATATATACAAACATATATGCCTTTCACCCCATGTATTATATATATCTGCCTATAATGTGCTCATGATGAAAAGCTTCCAGTCATTTCTCTTATCCAAGGGGATATAATTCATATAATACTCAAACTTACATGACCATCCTTAATAAGGCATCAAAACATTATTTTGATTCTTTTCCTTGCATTTATGTTCCATATCAATTTTATGAACATTCTCCTGATCTTATCAGACTGCTTTAGTCCTCTATGACTCTGTTCATGCTCTGTCCTCTGTCAGTCAGTCCCTTTCCTTCTCCGACTCCTTTTCCCTCAGTCCTTGTGGTTTTCTTCTCCCAGATTTCTTCAGGAATCCACTCTTGATGGCTCAGGTGATAAGTTTTTATTTCCTAGCATAGTTCCTACCAATGAAGTAAAGGGCTACACATTCTTAGATATGGGGATATTTTAGCCCCAGTGGTTCATATCTGGCACATAGGAATTGGAGGTATTGCCCTCAACTGATTAAGAATTAATGATCAGAAATACTTGCATTTTCATTCCATTATTGGGGTATATACCCAATAATTCCATGCGAGAGTTTTGTTTTTTAATGTTCATTACTCACCATATTTATGGGATCAACTGGTCCAATGCTGTTTACATAAACATCAGTTTCAATTACTGTAGGCCTCACTGCAAAACATCAAAGAAAAAATGGTCAAGGACATGACCAGAGGTTTCACTAAATAGAACTTAGTTATTAAGAATCTAAATGAGGATTACTATTTATTTTTAAAATAATAAAACATCCCTCACTAGAAACGAAGAAACATAGCATTTTACTGAAACATAAACACCTTTCAGTTTACAAGTTGATTTTACGATGTTTATTTTTGACTGAAAACATCCCACTGCACAACCTAAACATATTTTAAAATACTTCAGTAATTTATTAAATCCAAGGAAGTGAATTCAATAAAAATTGCTAGATAATTTTCTCTATTAACAGCCATAGAATTTCAGAATTTACATGGATTTGAAAGCCTAGTGTTTTCCTAACCCATTTCCTCTCTTGTTGTTAACAATATTTCTATAGGTTGTTCATAATTGTCTCCAGTTTAAGGTAGATTTTACTTAATTCCCACAAAGTATATGCCATGAATGTCACTATGAACTTCATGTTTATACATACCATTTGTGTTTTTTCAGTATGTCTTTAAGGCTTATGTATAGTATTTTATATTCTATCAAAATGTGTAGCACAGGTCAGCATTACAAACATCTATCAAATGATATGATTCAAGAATATCCATAATCATGCCATATTTGATTATGATTTAGGCTTTCAACCTTTGCCAGGCATTTTTGGTTCCTATAATGAGATTTACTGTAACAATGATAATTTCTACTCATAATACTTTTTGTTTGCTATGAGAAACATTCTCACATAGTTTCTTTTATCCCTCTTTCCCCACAAAATGTGATATAAAATTTTTATTCTATGATATATCAAATGCTTCTTGAGGAATATCTGTAAAAGTCTTACAAAGCAGACAAAAAGGAAATCTAAAGAGAGTGCAAATGAAATAAAGCAGAAAAACAAAACAAAATAGTAGTATAAAAGTTTCTAAGGTAGCATGTTATTGGTAATATTTACTCACTTCTCCTTTCTAAATTTTGATTTCTCTTCCTGGCCTAGTATTTCCCACTCTTACCATTCTGATACGATGTTCCCCCTGCAGGATGCTGCTCCCCTCTAAATCCTGGCTGAGTTGCCTGTCTGAGTCTCTGTTCAGCCCTGTGTCTCCCTGTCTCTGTACCTTCCAGTCTGGCTGTGCTCCCAGACTAGCGAGCTTCAGTGGAAAACCTGAAGCATTTTCAAACATAGTGACTGTACAATTATATAACAGCATTTAATCTTACCCTCTGCAATTAAAAAGAACACACAACACTACACTTAGAAACCCATAACATTGAAATAGTTTGTTTTTCTTCAAGCAAAGAAATTATTTTATGGCATACACATTTCTTAGCCAGAAAAATAAGTGATTTGTTAGAAATAATTTTAGAAAAAAACTATAGGTTCATAGACCTATGCATGACAGTGTAATTTTATTTGCTATCCAACAATTCGATTTCTTAAATAAAAGTAGCTCATATGATTTATACAAGGTTTTATAATTTAACTTAGACTAATGACTGCTGAGAGGAGGTGCTTTAACCACTTGCCATTTATTTTGACCAGCTATGAATTGCAGCCAATAACTATAATGTAATTAAGCAAATTATAGCTAGATTTACAGAATGGATCTTATGAAAGTCAATTAATAATGAGGCAATAGGTTTATTAGTTTCACTCCTAAGTATATTCCTTACCATTTAAAAGCAATTGAGTGCAACATACCAGTCTTACTTAATTAGGTATTTTCAGTTCATTTGATAAATCAACAAACACTGATACTAAGGACTGAATAGTTCTATGCCATGAAGTTAATGATTCCTGAGGACATTTTTATATGTAGGGCATACTTTTCATAATTACAATTAGAAAGTTTTAGATATGAGTGATATATCCTGGTTTTCTGATATCAAAAGAAATGTATTTAAACAATGTATTTACACTTGCATTGAACCTCCAAATATAGCCAAAACCGGTTTGGCTTAGTGGTAGAGCGTCGGTCTGTGGACTGAAAGGTCCCAAGTTCGATTCCGGTCAAGGGCATGTACCTGGGTTGCGGGCACATCCCCAGTAGGGGGTGTGCAAGAGGCAGCTGGTCGATGTTTCTCTCTCATCAACGTTTCTAGCTCTCTATCTCTCTCCTTTCCTCTCTAAAAAATCAATAAAATATATTTTAAAAAAAAAGAAACTCCAAATATAGAGAATTAAATCTAGTAAAATATACTATGGTAATACTTATTTACAGGAAACATTAATAAGAAAGAAATATGTACATTAAACAACATATAATGCTCATGAATTTGGTATGATAAAAATTCGAAAAAGATTTCAATTTCCCTATAATTGGCCATATATTTAATGCAATCTCAGAAATATATTTGCTGTTTTATATATTTTGTTTGTTTGAAGGATTTGGTGGGGGGATTTATAAGTTAATTATGTTATAAAATTTACATATGAAGGCAAAGGACCTAGGACAGCAATCTTAAAGTAGAACAAGTAGAATTAGTTATACTAATTACTTGAGGCCTGGTGCATGCATTTGTGCATGGGTGGGGTCCCACTGGCCAGTGGGAGGGGCCCTGGGAAGTTGAGGAACCGGCCCTGCCCCCAGATTGAACTTCAATTGAACTCCTGGTTGAGGGGACAATTTGCATATTACCCTTCTATTTTATAGGTCTAGAGGCCCAGCAGACAAAATCATATGAGACCCAGATCTGCTGTGCCTGTGGGATCCCAGGGCATGCTGCCAGAGCCTGGGCCCTGCCTTTGTGCCATGTGGAGCTGTGGGCCCCACTTCCACCACGCAGCTCTGACTGGGCGTTTGGTCATGATGCCATTAGGGACTCACGACTTCAGGTCTTTTATAATATAGGATAATATCAAGGATTATAACTCTCCATTAATTAACACAGTGTGACTTTGGCACAAAATTTGAATTCCTATTTCTCAAATATTCCTTTTATAAAATATCTCTCTAATCCTCAGATAGTTCCATTAAACTTTGCTGTTGCATCTTTCATTGTAGTAGTTGTAAAACAATTACATCAGAAATGTTTACGTGCCTTTATTCTCACATCAGACTATGAACCTCACAAACTAGTGCTATTCCAATTAATACTTGTCACACCCAGCACTCTAACATGCATCCGACACTCAAGAGATAGATGATCTAAAACTAAAATAACATCAGTAAATATGGTTTTTATAGTCCCCCAGTCTCAGAAAGATAACTGAAAACTTACCTCCTATATCTGGGCGAAATTTATTGTCATAGCCTTGCAGCAATGAATTGAGAATTTGTGTTATATCTCCTTCATGAATCTTTGGGGCCAAGACCCAAGTTTTGTTTGCTGTTAAATCCTCATCATCTTCATCATCTGCTTTATCAACACTAAATAATTCCGAAAATAAAACGAACGATAGGAAGTTAAACAAATTGGGCATTTAAAAAAAATAGTTCAAGATCATTACACTTTTGTTAGAGAATAGTAAGTAAGAGGGGGGGAAAGCATTAGAAATATTTTATATTCAGCATATTCATTATATGAACTCCACTAATATAATAACACTCACATGTTAAAAATGTATTACAAGAAATGTAACACACGATATTAAAATAATACAATGATTATTGGCCATTCCCACAATGACCATTGAAGGCCGTAGAAGTTATGCACTGAAAATGTGAATGCTGGCCCTCGATTTGTGCAGGACACAATCTGGACAACTTAGTGGTGACACTGAATAACCACACCCCAAAATAAAAATTAAAAGATAAATGAATACAGGTGTAGTTGCAACATTAGTATGATCAAATGTATAAAAATGCATGCATACAAAGGAAGAATTGAGGAAAGATGAGTATAGAAAGGGCTGAAGTAAAAAGAAACAAGTATTGGACACACCTATGCTTATTCTTTTAAGTTAGAAGAACAGAGACAGTTTTTTCCAAAAACTTCATCAAAGGTTGTCATATTATCAGATGTAACATGGGTGACATCTTCCATGTATATTTGGGAGGCAAGTCTCTCAAACTTTAGACGAGAAGTTAGAATTTAGGGACCAAATAGCCCACTGCCTTTATAATGCAAAGTAGAAAGCTGGAAACAACCTGAAACTAACCAAGCACAACCCTGAGAATCAAGCTCTAACTCTCCAATTAATGCTTCCTGCTAAGAATGCAGCTTACTTCTGAACCGTGGTAGAAAATGAAATGATATAGACATTTATCTATATAATTCATCATAAGAAACAAGCTACTCTTATTTTATTACCTGTAAGTAAATCCATCTTCGTTTGAAGAAGATAATATGGGACTTAACACACCCTACTTTATTAAACCTTAGTCCTCCAGTGAAAAGGGTCAAAACACTAAACCCTTATACTAGTAAAATCAGGTAACTTCATACTGTAATTGTTATTTACATATATTTTAAAGATTGGCTTCTGTCCAATAGTGAATAAGCAAGTTTGTGCTATCTTTAGTTAATCTTTCTATATTATCCATTCAGACCTATTTTGCTTGGAACTTAAACATCTTATCAAATGCAGCTCCCACACCATTTCGATTTTTAAAAAAAATTCCAGTTTTATTCAGATATAAATGACATAGAATATTGTATAAATTGAAGGTATATAACATAATGATATAATATATGTGCATATTGAAAAAAACGATTACCAAAATAAACTTAGTTAACATCCATCCTCTTCATCCTTCATGAGTACAAATTAGCATTAGAAATTGTAACTTAAGTTTACATTATTTGCTATTTCATTTGATCTTCACAATAAGTATATACTGATAGTCATTATCAACAGATAATGAAGTGCATTATTATTCTCAATATTTCTCCTCTCCTTCCTCTCTGTCCTGTCAGAGAATTATACTTTCCATTCCACTGACTTCTAACTTAGATATATGGCTTGAAATACTTCTTCTTATAAGAGGATTATACACCCCTGTCGCGCTGAACTTGTGTGGCCCTGTGATTTGCTTTGACTGATAAAAAAAAATGTGATATGTGTCACTACTGAGCAGGAGGCTTAATGCAATTTCACGACTCGCAATATATCTCTTATCCTTCTACCAGAAGACTAGCCAGGTTGACAGAGGCCACTCTATTACTGGACAGCCACAGTTAACACACAACGAACATATAGACTAGACAAGAAATAAAAAAATTAGTGTTGTAAGCCACTGAGATTTGGGGGTAGTTTATTAATACATTATACAATTTTTATTTCTATGGTGTACTTAGTTAACAGAATTTTGAAGTGCTCATTTATATTAATTATTGTGACATATTTAACTTCAAAAAATACTACTGGTACAGTAGTATGATTTCCTATTACATATTTGTATTTTTTACAGTATCAACATTCTTGTATTCCAGAAAGCACATGCTCATAGTGATTTATATTCCCCTTTTCCCAGCTAGCTCAGAGGTAATATGAAAATTGACCTCATGATATTACAAAGCTATCTTTTCTCATTTTTGGCAGTAACAGGAAAAGATTTATTAAGGTTAACTTTTCCCCATCTTCCTTCAAAACTTTTAAAATTATCTTCAATCTGTATTAATTACTTTGAATATCATATTAGGATTAGTTTAGTGATTAAAGAGTACTTATCATAATTTCTAAATAGTTCATATAACATATCTGACATCTCAATGTTCTTTCATAGACTGAAAGACTTTTGTAGCATTTATATATGTTGAGTGAATGAGTGTTCAAACCATTTTGGGAAAACAATTACGATTTTCAGTAATAGTCTGAGAAATTCTACACATGTTCGTGGAGTCCTTTTAAATAATTTGAATGCACATAATCTTATCATTTACATTTAAGTTCTTGAATACTTTAATTTACCAATTGCTTATTTTAAAGATTGATGTATTGTTGTTATTATCTGCTACTGAATGCAGATAGTACATCATTTAAGTGCCAAACTGTGTACTAAGATCCTTCCACATGTTATGTAATTTACTGAGGAGTAACGTATTGAAGAAAATTTTAATATTTATATTTCAAAGATGTAAATGGGTTTATTGATTTCCAAGGATATACACTATTAAATAATAGCCAGGATTTAAAACAATATTTAGTTTGAAGACTTGTTTCCTGTTTCCTTTGAAGTCTGCACAATATAATTTCATTTTATCTTTATTATACAGACCAGGGTGGTTGGATTTGAAGTTTACTAATTCATAAACACATGCCTCAATGATGGTAAGTAATTGGAAGTGCATTAGGATTGAGCATGGGTAGGGTGCCTTGTCTCTGCCTTTGAGTTCCGAGAAATTAAAATAATAATCTCAAGGAATCACACACTCTCTCTGTTGAGAATGACTATCTAACATGGGTATGTATCCAATCCAATGCTGTAATTCACATATGGAAAAAAATATATTATATACTACAAATGTGTAAGTGCTAAAATACAGAGACTAATAATATTACATTCATGATCTAGACTATCTTATTTTTTTAATAAAGGAAAAACTAATAAGAGGATACATAACTCATGAAATGGACAGCAGTCTGGTGACCCAGGGGAAGGGGGAATGGAGGAAGAAGAGGACATAGAGGGGTTAAATGGTGGTGGAAAAAATAAAATAAAATAAATAAATGATACAGAAAACCATCACATACAAAGATGCTTACATAGATAATAGATAATTATCTATGGCAAGCAAATCTTAAACATTATGAGTATGTTTAAGTAAATTATGATTTATTCATATAATGCAATTAACATTATCTGAAAAATAACATATAACACTCAATTTTTATTAAAACTGATTTATAAAATGGCTAAAGATTTAATGAAAAGCAGCCTATACACTAAGTATGCTACAATCATAGAAACATACAAAAATTTTTGGTATATTAATAGCATACTATAAGCTTTCTGTATGATTTTGAAATATAAATATACAACAATGAGTTAATTGGACATCCCTTCCTACCTTTTCCTATACACCACCAAATAGTGCTCTGAAATACCTTTCTAATCATAAAAAATAAATAATTAACTACAGCCTTTTATAGAGAGAAGCAGAGCTTTATAACCTGCCAAGAAATCGATAGTGGCAGCTCTGAAAATTTGCAACTCGATTCTCCTGCCATGGGGACATAGCTGATTGACAGCCCCATCGCTATTCCTCTGGAGTAGCCCTGTGTTTGCACCAAACCCCTAGCAAGCCAATCAATTAATGTAAATGATTTTTCATACATATGACAAACATGCATCGAGTTTTGCCCAGGATGGCCTGGTTTACACCTGTTTTTCCAGAATAATTATTAATAGCACCCTTTTCCACTGGCAAAGTGACCTAATTTGGATGATAAATTATACAGTCACCCTGAGTATAGTCCATATAAAAGCCCTGGTTCTGACTCCAGGGAAAGGCTCTTCCATGAATCTGTTACGAAAAGGCAGATGTACCGAAACCAGTTCCGCTCAGTGGATAGAGCGGCGGCTTGCGGACTGAAAGGTCCTGGGTTCGATTCTGGTCAAGGGCATGTACGTTGGTTGTGGGCACATTCCAAGTGAAGGGGGAGGGGTGCAGGAGGCAGCTGATCTATGATTCTCTCTCATCGATGTTTCTAACTTTCTATCCCTTTCCTTTCCTCTCTGTAAAAAATCAATAAAATATATAAAAAAAAAAAAGAAAAGAAAAAAGAAAAGAAAAGACACATAATACTCCAAAGCCAGGTCTCTGTGAGCTATTGGTCATGGCAACTTAAATTGTGTTTATTTATGAACATTAGCTCCTATAAGCATAGTAGGCAAGTGACAAGTTTCAGTAAAGAATGCCAGTTATTATGTTTCAGTGGAGAAGATACCCTAAATTCAAGGCCTCTAATTACCAGCTTTTAAAGAGTAAGTATAAGCACTGATTTTAGATCTGGAAGTCAAAGAAAATAGAAGTAAAATAAGAAATTTAAGCCAAAACCGGTTTGGCTCAGTGGATAGAGCATTGGTCTGCAGATTGAAAGGTCCCAGGTTCAATTCCAGTCAAGAGCATATACCTTGGTTGTGGCACATCCCCAGTGGGGGGTGTGCAAGAGGCAGCTGGTCAATGTTTCTAACTCTCTATCCCTCTTTTTTCCCTCTGAAAAAAATCAATAAAATATATAGGGGGGGGGGGGAGAAATTTAAGAAAAAAAGGTTTGTTATTTTCTTTTCACCTTTATATTGCATTTGTTAGATTCTTTTGTATAAACAATTATTTGTAGGTTTGTAATGGTTTTATTACTTATAAAAGTTTATAGGAAAGTAAAATAACTAAAAAAGTGACATATAACAAACTTATCAATTTGAAATTTCAGGGTTTTAGGGAGATAAAATAATAGTCTGCTCGATGTGGTGATTATTTTATT